CTTCAAATTTTCAGGGTATCTTTAGATTCACTCCTAAAAAACGAAACGCCTACGGCAAATTCTGGCAACCACCCGTAAAGGGCTAAAAGGGGGTATCAAAGAAAATAGGGCATGTCAAAAAAGTCACAAAAATATCTTTTTTTATAATCTCTTAAGGGGTAACTCGTCGAAGTAGAGCCCTATGGGCAAAAATTTCGTCCGTTTGGCTCTATCTCTAACCGTTTAGGCACTGGAGGGTCTTTTTTTTTGATGAAAATAAGCTTAAAATTGCATTAGTGAGCAATAAGTTGTAGAAGAAGGCCCAAAACCGCAAAAGAGAAAGGAAACTCCCCCCAACCCCCCAAAAACGTTTTCAAAGCAGAAGGGTGGGTTGTAGTCGCGGTGCTTCACCGTTACGTCCCTTTCTCCCGTCTACGGGCCAAATTTTAAGAACGACGGGCTTTGCGGGCCGAAGGCCCCTTACAGGTTAGGTTAGGTTGTCTATGTTCTTCAGCAAATCGCGTGACAGAAATGGTCGGGCCGCAGACCCGACCATCGCCGCCGGCAGGCCAAGCAGGCCCGGCCCCTGCCGAACGGAGTTGCCGGCGCAGCGAAGCGAAGCTGGCAACTTCGTTTGGCGGAAGGGCGGGCCTGCTTGTTTTAGTTCTCAGCGATGAAACGCGTCTTTTGATGGAATAGTTCTGATCAATCGGTAGTGCTCTAGCGCAGCACAATCACGTCGACTGTAGCGGTCGACTTGTCCAGTTCGATGCCCACCTAACTGTACAAGGTAGAGAAGATGACAAAATAAATTAAGAAGAAATCAATGATTATACATCGGTAACGTAACGGTTGGCCATCGCCAATCGCTCTTGAAAGAGCGCTACTTGAATACGCTTGATACTGTTACACACTAAATTGCAATGGACTTTTTTTGTCCACAGCAAGACGCGTTTTTAAGCACATCTTGACGGGGTGCATTTAAACATCTTGCAAATGACAAATTTGCATCATATTCGTGGACAATTTTTATTTTTGTGGGTACGGAAGCTAAATTTTACTTTACTGTGGACTGGACACGCAATTATCTGATTGGCTGACTGGTTAAGGCCAGGTGCGTTTTCAGGTCAAAGTAGTAAAATTACCCTAAATATTTTTTACAGTGAAGTGGCAAATGGTACGTGACAACGTGACGACTGGTTCATCTCAACCACTGTGACAAACTTTTGTCCTCAATATTATTCGTCACGCTCGTGCGCGGGGAGCGGATCTAGGGCAACTCGCCCCGACTATCTCGTCCACGGTCTAAACAAGAGAACCGCGCCAAGTGTAAATTCCCGATTTTTATTCTACTTTGGGAAATTGTTGGTCTAAATGTGTCATCAAAGGACATATCAATTTTTTTTTTTTGCTTATATTCATATTCAGGGGTTATTTAAGGCATTCGTTACAAAAGCTGCTTTTTCAAAAAAAATAAATTATAATTATCAAGAATGCTTCGTGAGGGGTAACTCGTCAAATTGCGGTTCCTTGGCCGAAAATTTCGTCCGTTTTGCTCTATCTAAACCCGTTTAGGGGCTACCGCCACGTTTATGAGGGGAAATGTACGGGAATCACTAGGGCTTAAGAGCAGCGGTTGTAAAAAGCAGTCCCACAAAAAGTGTCATAAAACAAAAGTGGAATAGTTTACATTTTTCTACAAATTTTGTTTAAAAACATTTTTTGTAAGTCATCCCATGCCCTCCCCGGTCCCGCCCTTTTCGGTTCCGGCCAACTTGTCCCCAGTCATGTGAAAAAAAAAAAATAACTGCATAGAACAAACGGTACTTAATATTTCACCACACAAGTGCTCAGAAGAATCACCATCCCAGGTTGTGACTGATGGCCCCACGTAGGTCAGCAAGTCGTGCTCTACCTTGTATAAAGCATTCCGGTAAAGCTGAAATGCAGAAAGAATGCGGGGCAGAAGGAAACCGGAAATCGCTATTCTTTGCTTTTAATGTGATTTCCGGTTTCTTCTTTCCAGCATAATTTTGCATTTCAGCATTACCGGAATGCTTTATTGGTCATACCGCTCCACTATGCGGTTGATGCGTGCCTCGGTGCTGTGCCGGCGGCCTGAGCGGCCCTTGGTTGGGGAGTCGCTGCCCTCGCCCCTCGCTCTGGACGTGTACACTGTACCTCGCCGAACTCTTCTTGGAGCGCTGCCATGCGAATAACGACACTTTCCCTTGGAAAATACAGCAATGTGTTTGGAAATTCGTGGAAAATTAAATGTTAAAAAAAAAAGAAAAAGAAAAACAGTTCTGGTGGCGAGTTGGCACCGACATATGGGGACGACTTTTTTGAAGGACCGGGGTCGAGTTGAGTCCGGGGCGAGTTAATACCGGGGGCGAGTTAACCGGAACGACTTGTCCGTCACCCCGGGGAGCGGCACGAAATGTGATATGTGTTGTTTCGCATTATGTGTTTCGCAGTGTACTAACATTTTCCAGAGGTGCCATGTTTCTTGCGCTGCAAGACGTATTACTTGCTACGGGTCTAGTTTCTGCGCAGCTGCGGATTAGTGACAATGTGACTTCACGAGTTCCAGCCGATTTCATAGCTTATTTTGTACGTCGACATCTAACGACTCGAAGACACGGCAGCGGAGCGCTGGTTGTTTGCATCCAGAGGTGCTCTCACGATTGTGAGTTATTTAACAATGATAGTCACGCTTGCAAAATGGTCCATATCACATAACTGGCTGCGCGTTAGCGAAAAAGTTTCATTCTGTTTGTTTACGCCTCAGCAATAACATTTTCCCGTGAGGTTGCCGGTCATTTACGGGGAAATTCACGGTTTTCTATGGTGCATGCGCAGAGCACAAGTTAGTGAATTTTCGTGTTTAACTGATTTTGTATTTGTGATGGCTTGTAAGCCTTGCAGGTAGAAATAAAGTTGGTCCGCCTTCATGTTTGTCTATCACCAGAAAGGCGCCAAAATTCTTGCAAATACGCGTATTTCCTCAAACGTACCTTCCGGTACCTTCTAACCTAAAAATATGAGGCGGGAAAAGCGCAATGGAAAGTGCTTTACCGAATCAACTGGGGACTTCACGGAAAAAATGTATTCTGTGCGAAAACTCGAGAACGAATAGGCTATATTTCGCCTGACGCAAACCGGATCCAGATCCAAAGAACACCAAGTCTTTCTCCTGAACCCCCTCCTCCTTGGCGCTGATTGGCCGACGCGGACGAAGTTTCAGGACCCGACTCTAGGAGGTTGATCGCACTTGCGGCCAGTTCAAGAACTCTAGTACTCTAGTTCAAGAACTACGTTGACGTCAGCCAACAATGGTCAGTTCCCTCTCTTTCGGTATTTCGGGATTTAACTCAAAATATCTACATTTGCTACAAGTGTTGCCAGAAACTACCTATCGATCAGCCATCTCGACTCCTTTACTTAGAAAACGGTCCTTACCGCTTCTTGAGAGTTAATTTGTATTGATCATTTCGACACCTAATACTAAAACGCACATTACGCGCGTTTCGAAGGTCGCGTAGTTCAACTGCAAGTTTCAGAACTCACGCAGTTCGCCGCCGCGCTCTGAAAACACGTATCCTTACCGACTATTGCTGCGCTGCGGATCATGCGGGTGGCCCCCCGTAACCCGCCGCTCGAAAGTGGCGCCCATCGTATCTGGAGACGGTAGTGACTGAGGTGACTGCTACCAACCTTTAAGGCGTACCTACCTACCTTTACGGCCAATTTTTGGGGCGGAACATTAGGGTTGCCTACTTTTAGGGGCTCATTTTTTACGTGATTAAACGCCAACTTATTCCCTATTTTCCCTGATTGAGGGTGTGGCTAGATTGAAGCACCTACAAAATTTACAAAATTTGCGAAATGTATTACTATAACTGACCGCGAGTACCAAATACTAATACAATAATTTACGCGAAAAGAGCCAACGTAAGAGGAATCCGCGAGCGAAGCGAGCGAAAATTTTTGTGTTTTGTTTTACTTGCCTTGGTAAACTATAAGAGTAGTATTGTTTGCAAATAGGAAGCAACTAAGAGTGATTAAAATTAGTCTCCGTAGCAAAGAGCCGTAAGGTCGCGAGCGCACAACATAGCTCCCCAAGTGCCATGAAATTGGAAAACAATCGCGAGCGAAGCAAGCGAAAAATTTTACATGAAAAAGCTTGCTGAACTGGACGTAAAAGTTTAACTTCATAAATGGTAAAAGTAAGAGGAAAATTTCGTTAAAATTGCAAGTTGCATGCCACTAAATATGCGATGCTTTGTGTCAAGCCAAGTTGTTGAACCAGCTGATAGGAAATGCAATCAGGCCGCAGTGTTGGTGCTGTTTGATTCGGCTGGGCCACAGCTCCGAGCTGCGGGGACGGGGCCGGACTGTTATTATTATTAATGCCTCCCTTTCCTCTTATTTTCTTTCCTTCTTTTTCTTTCTCTTTCCTCTCTTTCCCTCTCTCTTTTCTCTTTACCCTTTCTTCTCCTACCCCTCCCTCACCTACCTTCTGCTTGCCCTACCTACCTACCTTAGCTGATGGACGGTGGTGACTCGTCACCACCGTAACCCTACGATGGGCGCCACTGCCGCTCGACACAGCGGCAGTCTCTAAGCTACTCGTGTTTTTCGTGGAGTGAACAACTGCGTGAGTTCTGAAACGCGCGGTTGAACTGCGAGCGTCTCTAGTTTGAGGTGTCGATTATGTGTGAACCAGACATAGGCCTCCAATTATTGGTGCAATCACAAAAAACTATATTTAGTGCGGAGTTTGTCAATTTTTTCCATCACGTCAATACCGTTGGAAATGCCGTAGATGAAATCACCTTTGTCGCATTGCTCCCCATGTCCCACTGTACCCGACACTGTTAATTACAACAGTAAATCGCTACAGAATAGTCTGGTAATTCCTTTAACAGTTGTGCTGATCCTGTACGTACCACTAGAGGAAACTTGTACAAAACACCTTCCAATTTTTACAGTTTCCTAGAACAGGAGAGACAAATAACATGCTCCGCCGTTCTCCGCTGTGTTTTATGTTTGCAGATCGTGAAAAGGACGATCCGGCATTTTGGGACGTGTTTCTGTATAAATTATTGAGCCGCACTGATGTTTCCATTACGCTATCTTGCGATGGGCAAGAGCAAAATGAGCGTATCCGTCCAAACTACATTCTAGCAGGCTCGCCGGCTTACGTCTTAAACCAGGTGATGATTACCACGGTGAAAATTGTTCCTTGGTATCCAATGACCATCGCGTGAAAGTCGACTTAACAGAAAATCCACCCACAGCCGATCAGGCGTAAATAATGCCAGTTCCGCAAAGACGTCCTTTTGGAAAGGTGTTTCTTTTTCGATCAAATATCTATGTTGTACACAATACTTCACACTGGACCCAAAATGAGAAATATCATTTCACGGTAAGAGCTTTCACAAAACGTTTTTGCTGAATGAGTGATTTTAGCGGTAAGAAGAACAAGAGGAAGTTTCAAGATTGTCGCCACGGACCACAACAAACATTATTCGATTGTTTTCTCGAAGCGGCTGCTAGCAGACGCCCGCTCTGAACGTTATATTGCACCCCGTACTAAAGTGAAGAGATCTTGGTTGTCTCCAAGGGAGATAGCGTGGAGCTGCGCTGGTCGGTGCCACTATAGCTGCCAGACTCGCTCGGCATCAGGCCGGCGGAAATCTCAAAGCGGCTAGTGGCACCGACCAGCGCAGCTCCCTCTCAGAGATCACTCTGGCCCAGTGGTCACCGGCTCCGCTCGGCAGGCGGAAGGTTGGTGGGTCGATCCCAGCCCGTTGCGCCAACGATTCTCGTTTTCGTCTTTCTTCGTCTGTCACATTTCGATGTCTCCAGATTGTCTCCACGCGATGGCTCTGTGTCGTCTCTGAACGGGGTCGTAAACGAGACCTGACTGAGACGCAACTAGAGACAGAACGCCACGTCTCGAGGTCGTCTCCGTGTTGTCTAAGTTCGGCTGTCACTGTCTTGACAACGTCTCCTAAAGGTCTCCTCGTTATCTCCCTTGGAGACAACCTAGATCTCTTTATTTTTAGACGAGACCATTTTGAGTCAAATTTCGTATCATTTTAGTCGGATGAAAGAGGGGAACCACAAAACATAGCATTTGAACATACGTGACGAATTCGTCAGGTTCGTTAGTAAGATATGGTGTTAGTTTGTTAAAATTGTTAACTTGAACTATTATTTTCATAGATTAATAACACTAAATAGTATACTTAGCCTGCTCTTTTGCTTAAAAGCTTATAAGCGGGCTCATGCCATCGCCCCTCTGTCTGTCAGTCCGTTCCCCAAGAAGGACGAGAGCTAGAGGTCTGAAATTTTCAGGGTATTATCTCGACAACGAAACGGTTGCTGCAAATCCTGGCAACCACCCCTGAGTGGGTCTGAGGGGGTAATACAGAAATAGGGGTTGGTCCAAGAAGTGGGAAAAAATATTATTTTTCTGATTTCTGAAGGGGTTACTTGTGAAAGTAGAGTCCATTGGACTAAAATTTGTCCGTTTGGCTCTATCTCTCACCGTTGAGACGCTAGAGGGAGTTTTTCTCACAAAAATGGCCCAAAAGTGAATGTATTGTTTTAAGAAAATATTTGATGGTCTCCAAAGGGGTAAATCGTGAAAGAAGAACCCTCTGGGCTAGAATGTCGTCCGTTTGACTTTCACTGTTTACTTACAAAAAGGAAGTTTTCTTACCGAAATGGCCAAAACAGTTTTATTTTTTTCAAGAGTACACTTTTGTCTGAGAAGTATGCCGTCGCGGTTCAAAAGTTTCTTCTAAGCAGAAGAGTGGGCTTATATTAAGGTAGCACATCATTAATAAAATGTGTACACACGGGAAAAAAGAATTAGTCCTCACAACTAACAAATTATCTGATTTTGGGATAGCTAATCCCAAATTCGCTGTGGCAGCTAAGAGTTAGTTGCCACGGACAAGAGTTAGTTGCCACAGCGAAGATGTCTCCTGCAGCGACATCTTCGCTGTGGCAACTAACTCCTGTCTGTGGCAACTAACTCTTAGCTGCCACAGCGAATTTCTTGTCTATCCCAAAATTATATAATTTATAAGTTGTGGCAACTACTTCTTTTTTTCCCGTGCACTCCTATGCAAAAAGACAAAACAAAAACAAACAAACATTTATTTCGTTGTTTTGTTGTACTTCAGCTGCTACCTTCCTATCAGTAATTTTAGCGAAATCATTGCGGACACGCTCGGAGTTATTTCAGAGTATGCCTGGAAGTATATGTTATGCTGGATTTAGTCTCGTGAGGCGAGGCCCGTAATTCTGTCCTCACCTCACCTGATTTTGAGACACGGGCCTCACAAATTTCGTGGGCTCTGATTGGCTTGCCTAGCTTAGATAGCCAATCACAGCTTTAAGGCCCGTGCCTAGCTGAGGTGAGGACAGAATTACGGGCCCCTCCTCACGAGACTAAATCGAGCATAACTTCTTCTGAGTCTAGTCTTATATATCTTTTCACATGTGTCTTGTGTGTTGTTCGACCCATAAGCTAACATCAATAACCCGGGTGAAACGGTTTGTATACAACTCACTTAGAAATTTTATAACAATTTATAGACTTTTATAAAATTTTACATGATTGTGTACACCGTAAACAAACCGTTATAAACTATAAAGAGTGTTTTACAAATGTGTATTTTATTTGGTAAAATTTTATACAATTATAAACAGAGGTATGTATACGTTTTTGTAAAATCTTATACAATGTATAAACAATACACGTGCCGTATATAAGTCGACGTATATTAGAGCATCGTTGTACCCCACGCATTATACAGCAGCCACATACATGAGAATAAATGGCACCTTGCCCTACATTAGAATGTATACAGGCACAAACACTAACACACACTGACTAATAACGTTACTGGGTACTCCCCTAAATGTAGGCCAAATGTGGTTGAGTTCTAAAATGCAGCATAACTTGTAAACGGCTACATAGGGTTCGAGAGCAAAGTAAATTTCCAGAAATTTTGAGTAAAAAACTAGTAAATTACGGTAAATTACTTTCCCTCAAAGTAATTTACTTTAAGATTTGTAAAATATCAGAATTATTTTGCCCATTTATTTTACTTTTTTGGCACTCAGAGAGGTGGCTGTTCTTCTTATACGGGCCGTAAGGCCACTAAATGTTAATGGATCGATTGACAACGTTCTAATATTTTGAGTGGACATATGCATGCATATTTATGTTCTATTTTGCGCCAAGCTTTGCAATTTGTAGAGGTTTTCGGCTCCAATGCTTTGTAAACAATGAAGACAATTACATACATTTTAAGTTCTTATCGTAATTGTGCACAAAACTTTATGTGGCTACCGAGGCCCGACGTAAGACTAAGACTCCGCTAGTGTACGCGAGGATGCACTACGTATGCTTTTAAAAGGCAGCAAATATTTTGAAAGGTTTTTTTATCAGGTGGTGAGGAAAAGAGTATCTGTGGTAGTGCTTCCGAGGCCAGTGGTGCTTCTGAAGCAAGTGCTGCAATTACTATATTGTAATCGGGAAAGCATACAAGTACCCTTTAAAAATGTTTAAAATTGCATATTTAATTAAATTGTGCTGTTTTTAGTAAATTACTCAAAAAAACAGTAATTTACTGAAATTTACCCAGGTTTTTTACTTTGAACCAAAATTACCGGTAATTCTCGAACCCTACGGCTACACATAGGGATGTGAAACGATAACTATCGTGCTCAGGGCAAAAAGATGCTGTGGCAAACATATATGCTGAAAATGACAGCCACCCACTCAGGCCGCTTCTCCTGCGAGTTTATTGAAACGCTCAAGTATATATTGTATAATATTTTATAAAAAGGTATACTGACACAGTAATACAGTTTAACCAAATGTCGCCAAATGTAATACAATTACGTTTATATACAGCTTTATACAATTACTTGTTGGCTGAGCGATTAGCGAAGCCTATTACTCCAGTGATGATCAAAAAGTTTCGCGTCTGTCTGTCTGTCTGTCTGTCTGTGTGTGTGTCTGTCTGTCATCACGATAACTCGAGAACAAATTGAGCTAGCGACCTGGGATTTTCAGGGTCGTTTTGTATCATAAAAAGACAGATCAAGTTCGAAGTAGAGCATTCTAGCTCAAAAAATTGATTTTTAAAAAATCAAAAACCACAGGACCCCAAAATGACGTTTTTTATAAATATTTTTTTTATTGTTTCCTAAGGGGTTACTCATCAAAGTAGAGTCCTTTTGGCGAAAATTTCGTCCGTTTGGCTCTATCTCTAACCGTTGAGGCGCCAGACACTGTTTTTCACACGGAAATGACCCCAAACCATTTCAATGTTTTTTCTGGTCTCTGAAGGGTCAACTCGTCAAAATAAAACCCTGGGGAGCAATAATTGTGATTCTTGGGGCCGAAGGCCTATTTACGACTCTTTCTTTTGCCCGACTCGGGTGTCAGCGCCGCAGGCCTAGGTAGATGTATGCCAGGCGCGTCGCAGCGTAACAGTGTTTCGTGAGATATCGCGAAGCCTGTTACGCGAGACGTCGTCTGGCGTACATCTACCTAGTATACATCTTATACAAACTTACCGTCAATGTTTTTTCACCCAGGAACTTAGAAGGGATTTGGCATAACTTGCATGTATTCTACAAACTGGGGCACACAGCCAAAGATGTTCAGCGTAAGAGAAGAATGCTTTGTTTTTCGAGTTTTGATTACGAAGTAGACAGCAAAGGTACCTGGGAAAAAGATGGTTCAAAGCGAGCCGTCACTCAAACGGGCCGAAGGCCCGTTTTTCGATGGAAGCTATATTACACCATGAAAAATCAGAGGGAACGGGCCGAAGGACCGTCCCAAACGCCGCCGGCTGGCCAAGCTAGGCCCGCTCCCTGCCGAACCGAGTTGCCGGTGGAGCGAAGCGGAGCTGGCAACTTGGTTTTGGCGGAAGAGCGGGCCTAGCTTGTTATAATTCTAACAAAACCAAGTTAGACTCCAACAGACGCGATGTAACATAAGGTATTGGGGCTCCCGAGCGCGAGCGGCTGCTCGGGAAAACAGTTGAATATTTGTTGTGGTCCGTGGCGGCCCTCTTGGAACTTCTTGTTCTTTTAACCACTAAAATCACTCATTACACCCACCGCTTAATGCTGAACTTCGTGTTTATACGGACCCACCAGACAATCCATGTCTATAGGTCTGATGAAGATACGCTTTTCTGGGTGACTCCTGCTGGGCGAAGCTGTGTGTTAAAATTGAAACTGCGCACCAACTAATCATAATGTGTTCGCAGGTTCTGCGATTTCCCCGCGACACTGCATCCAGAGACTCTCTTCTTCTGGTACTGCTGCAGCAATCCAAGAGAAATGACAGTTTCACTCATGGCAGTAACGAGACGTTTCTCTCGAAGCTGTGTTCGAGATACTGGCGAAAAGTTGTAGTAGCTAGTGAGAACAGAGAGAAAGGAGTGGTATGTGACCTTAGCCGGCTGAAAAAAAAACAACTTAAGATTTAAAAAGTTAAGGGAGGCTCAGATCAAGGTGCCACTAAAACGTATGTGGGTCATTCTCCTGAAAACGGGAAATAAGTTGTTGTTTTTTTTTTGCTCTGGAAATCAGTTTTTCTAGCTAGGTACTTCGGAACGATCTCTAAACATTTGTTAGTGATCTAGAAACACAAGCCAAACGGATTATTTCAAAAAACCAAACCTTATAGCCCATGTAATCACACATCTTTCCTAAAAAAAAAAAAGGAGTAAAAAGACTTAAAATACAGTGTCCCTCACTTTTTCAAATATACGCTGGAAACGCAAGTGTGTGGATATTGCTCACTTGCAGGTGTGTAAATGTTTATTCGTACACTTAGGGGGGTAAACGTGTGAAATTTCTAGGAATAATTCACACGTTTACGCACATAAGTGTACGAATGGATGTTCACACACCTGCAAGTGTGCGACATTCACACACTTGCGTTTCCAGTGTAATATCAGACTTTGATTTAAGGTCACACTACTAATGAAAATTATAGATCAGAGCTCCTAGGCCTGTGCGATTGTTGAAATTCATTGGTAATTGACAATTGTTGGAAATAATCGAAATTGGGTCGATTCCAATTACCGGTAATTGACAATTGATAACCCGTTCGATTAATTGACCAACCCGATTAATCGAAAGGGTCAATTATTTGATTTTTATCGATTAATTGTAATTGGTCCGCCAATTTGTCAATGAAGCGATTAAAGTTTGAATTTTGCTTTTCTTAGAAAATATTGTAGTTTTTAAAGGCTGTTTGCTTTAAAAAAACGATTAGTACAATTGAGGTAAGGGTAAGGGGCACAGAAATGAGACAGTCAGTGTTACTGCTGCTAGTTTTTATTATGTACTCGATTTGAACAATACATTGACAGGAAATAACAAGAATTATAGAAAGGCCAACGCGCAGGTTCAAAGTTACAGGCCAGGTCGTGGTTGCATTTCAATAGATAATCACTAATTCAATTCTTAAGTTTTTAGAAATTTCCTGTTTAAATACAAAAAAATAAGTTGAATTGAATGGCGGTCACTCGAACAGCTCCTGCTCAGAGTCACTACATTTCCACCGTCAGAGAAAAGTCTCTCTGACGGCATGCTGCTCGCCATCATATAGCAAGGGTCTGAAGGTGCTTGTAGGTCCCCATGTGGTCCCTCCACCAGGGTCGCACGTCCGCGTCCTTGCAAAGACTGTCCACACAATCATAGCTTGCCAACTCCGCACGGAAGGCAGCTGTGGGAGTGAGGGGTGCAGAAGCTTCAACTACATCCAATAGTCCCTGTGATCTTTTCCGTTTGCCAAAAAGGGACTGCAGACAGGACTTCTTGGCCGGGGTTGTTGTATGTCAGCGTCACTGGAGTTGGTGTCTGTCGGGGCTACCAATGAGGCGTCGAACTCGTCAACGAGCAGCTCCTTGGCTCACTGTCTTTCGGAAGGAAGGAGGCCGTCCCGGATAGCCGGGGTCAAGGGGTAGCTTCACTTGACGAGGATGTTGTTGAGGTTTGAAGCACAACGTTGAGCGATGCGCACATGTGACCGCGCCAGTGGTGTCATCTCCTTTAACTTTGCCTCGTCTAGGGGTTTCGGATCATAACGCTTCTTCATCTTGGTGATGACGTACTTCCTCAGGGTGTCGGGAGACAAGAGGTTCACGTTAAAGTCGAAACCCTCGTCTTCGTCGTCCTGTAAAATAGGTTTGGTCGTGATAGTCTTGCAGTCGCCCCCCCCCCCTCATTTTCTATTAAACCTAAAAATGAAAACCAAAATCTATATTACCGACTTCATCGACTAACTCACCATAGGTTCGTCGTCTCCTTCGAAGCCAGCTTCCAGGAGGTGCAGCACTGGCAGTACAGCGCAGGCAGTAACGTAGGATTCTGAGCAGAGAGTTGTGCTAATTTCCCCAATCGGCTTCGGTATGTACATGTTACAGTGAATATCCGGGTGTCAGAGAATGTCCGGATTCCCTAGTGAAAGTCCGGATTTCCTGGCCCTAGTAGGGAATGTCCGTTTGGGACAACTGAAACCGGACATTCACTAGGAAATGTTGGCTATGTTGGACATTCACTGAAGGCAGTCAGAGAATGTTCGAAATCGGACTTTAACTGAGTGGGGTGGCAGGGAATGTTGGGAATGGAAGTTCAGGTATTGTGGGTCACAAGGGTTTATTCATTCATTCATTTGTTAAGGCAGGCTGCCTTCCCCCAGGGTTGTTAACGTTACTTTGAAAATGTATCGCGATACCGTTACCTCGTTACTCTACCCTCGGTAACGCGTTACCGATACCGTTACAGCCTTCGGAGAATTGTAACGCGTTACGTTACTGGTAACGTCGTTACTTCGTTACTCGATACATGAAATTAATGTTTATAAAAAATTTCTAGAACGAAACAGTAAGGTGTTAATGTATAATAAGGGGTATTTTATACGTAAAAAAAGCATGTTAACTAAAGCCAAATTTCTTTAAGAAATATTCTTCGTAATGTTGCATACAATGAAATTTAGCAAAAAAAACTTTTTAATGTTCTAGACAAGGGAAAAATTACATGCGAAATAAGTCTGACACCTCCCGCAAAATAAATGCGAAATAATGGTGAAATAGTCGCGAAATACCACCCAAACCCAAATACCGCGAAATAACCGAAATACGTTGAAATGACTCGTACACTGTGTCGCCAAGTCATTTCCCCTTCGACTCTTGAGGAGTTCGGCGGAGCGAAACGGAGGCGACGCACTGCAGTGACTGCCTCAAATATGACCGAAGGAAGCTGTCACCTGCTGTTCCTGATCTTACCATCTTACCCTTCCGCCAAGCCTGCCTCCACCACTCCACCAAGACCAGGCAACACGCCGGTGGCGGTCAGGAGAGCAAAAGGACTGCTGACCTACGGCTGACTCATATGTCTGGGCCGGAGGCTGGCGCTGATACGAAGCGGTGCGGTCTCCTTGTCACCATACCGCACTTCCTCGGCCAGCGAGCCAGTGCGTGCGGGGAGTCACAACATCCCCTCCTCCCTCTCCCAGTCCCGCGCCGCAGTCCAGCGGCCCTAAGCGCCTCGCCCAGCTATGCTGAGAAGTCATAATTTAAGACCTGACCCCCCCCCCTTCTGCTCCGTGGTGTTCACGGAAAAACATTGCACGATTGCTGCAGAGCGCTTAAACTTTAACTCTCTTCGCATCATCATCATCGAATTAAGTGTATCCGTCAAATATATCCCATGTAACGAGTAAAATGTATCGACGTTACGTCTCGTTACTGACGAGGGTAACGATAACGCGTTACCGATACAGCCCAAATGAAAATGTAACGCGTTATCGTTGTAACGAGTAACGCGTTACAGTAACTTCGTTACTGCGTTACTGTAACTTTAACAACCCTGCCCCTGATAGCACTTTGACCCATATAGTTGGTTATTTTTTTTTTGCATGTGCACCTGATGCCAGCCCTGCACCTGCTTGCAGTGCAGTTGCACTTCAAGAACCCCTCGTTGTCGCAAGCGAAGAAGATCACCTGCTCACCAGCAACGCCATCCAGAGGGACGATGAGCCGCTCCACCCCGTTGATCTCCAGATCCCGAACCGGCCAGTCCGCCGTCCGCCATTTTGAATTTTGAATTTACCTTTTTTTCTGATTTTTAGCCCGCCCTTCTGCTTTGAAAAAGCTATCCAGCGGGCTTATGCAAACGACCTCGTGTTTGTCTGTCTGTGTGTCTGTCTGTCTGTGTGTCTGTCTGTCTGTGTGTCTGTCTGTCTGTCTGTTCCACAAGAAGGAGATGTGCTAGAGACTTCAAATTTTCAGGGGATCTCAAGGTTCACTCCCACAAAACAAAACGCCCACGGCAAATCCTGCCAGCCACCCCTAAGGGGCTGAAAGGAGGTGTCGAAGAAAACAGGAAAGGCCAAAAAAGTTGGAAAAAAATATTTTTTTTATGATCTCCTAAGGGGTAACTTGCGAAAGTAGAGCCCTTCGGGCGAAAATTTCGTCCGTTTTGCTCTATCTCTCACCGTTTGAGCGCTAGAGGGTCTTTTTAGACGAAAATAAGCTAAAAATTGACATAGTGAACAACAAGATGTAGAAAAAGGCCTAAAAACAGAAAAAAAAAGAAAGGAATCTCTCCCCCCACCCCCAAAAAACGTTTTTTAAGCAGAAGGGTGGGTTGTAGTCGCGGTGCTTCACCGTTCCATCCCTTTCTCGAGTCTTTTGGGCAAACTCAAAGATGACGGGTTTAAAAATTGCTGTTGTGAACAATTGAATGTAAAAGAAGGCCCAAAACCACAAAAGAGGTAAGAAACTCCCTCCCCCCACCCCAAAAAACGTTTTCTAAGCAGAAGGGTGGGTTGTAGTCGCGGTGTTTCGCCGTTACATCCCTTTCTCGTGTCTACGGGGCAAATTTTAAGGACGACGGGCTTTGCGGGCCGAAGGCCCGTTACATCATTTGATTATGTTCTACAGCAAATCGCGTGACAGAAATGGTCGGGCCGCAGGCCCGACCATCGCCGCCGGCAGGCCAAGCAGGCCCGGCCCCTGCCGAACGGAGTTGCCGGCGCAGCGAAGCGAAGCTGGCAATTTCGTTTGGCGGAAGGGCGGGCCTGCTTGTTTTTTCTTGTCCCGAAGGGTGCCGAAAGGGTAGTGGGGTGTTGCCAGTTTGGCTCCCCCGGTAGATATGGAAACAAATAACAATAGCCACTGTGCTTGCACTGTGCTTCCGCTACTTTGCGTTAACAATGACGGCATTCCCGACCACTCCACTCACAAGGGAAGGTTTTCCGGAGATACAGTCAGATTTCAAAGGCCCTTTAAGAAGTAGTTGTTTGCACCTCTAGATTAGGATTGGCACTGATTTTAGCTGCCCGTAGGGAGTTTGGGGGTCATTTCACAAGAATTTCATCAAAAATTTCCCAAATTCATCAGTTTTTTGCCGTCTTTGCATGCACATATCTCCGAAACCGTTTGAGCTACAGCGCCCAGATTTTGCAGATAATTATCCTTCAATTAGTACTTTCCATGAAAAATATTTGAACCAAATCAATGGGGTTCACCATAAGGGGCCTAGCGTCGCATCCCCCTCTCCGGACCCGTTTTTGCGACCCTGATCGATTTCGTTCAAATTTTCTACAAGTAAAGAACGTGTCAAATTATGATTTCCTTCAAAATCTGGGCGCAGTAGCTCAAACTGTTCTTGAGATACGCGCATGTAAAGTTGATAATCAGGCTAAGAAGTTTAGCGAATTTTCAATTAAATTCGCGTGAAAACGACCTTCAAACTCCCTACGGGCAGCTAAAACCAATGCAAAACCTAATCTAGGGATGAAAACAACACCTTGAAGCGCCATTGAAATCTGAGTGTACACCGGAAAACCGTCCCTTGTCAGTTCAAGTCCGATTTCGAACATTTCCTGACTGCCTTCAGTGAATGTCCAACATAGCTGACACTTTCTAGTGAATGTCCGCTTTCAGTTGTCCCAACCCAAACGGACATTCCCTACCGGGGCCAGGGAATCCGGACTTTCACTAGGGAATCCGGACATTCCCTGACACCCGGACGTTCACTGTAACATACATATTCTTGTTATCTGGCGAAATTGGGTATATTGTGTTAATTTTTTTTTACACTTAAAACTTATTTAACAAGCCCCACCCCCCCGTGACTTCTTAAAAAAACGCAAATTACCTGGGATGCGCTTTGAGTGTTTTCCTCTCTCAAAACCTTCGCTGAACTCCCTTGGGTCGTCTCGTTGTGCCACTATTCGCTCGAAGAGCTTCGATTCCGTCCAACAACGGGTAGGCGAAATGGTTGGAATCACAAGTGGTGTGCGGTGGTGCTTTTTCTTGTACCAAGCTTCGTAAGTGTGACACACTCTGGGTGTGTTTGTGTACGCTAGTAGTGCTCTAGCCGCCCTTACCGCCGGTGCTATAAGTTCACTTGCAAATGGGTGGATTTGAAAATTGTGTCAAATCCGGAGAGCGCTTTTTGGAGGGTGAATTTCAGCAGTCACGGGGATGACGCAGAAGGTGAGTGACGTCACGGGGATGAAAACTCGCCAAGGGGCGTCACGGGGATAGCCACCGCTCTACGGGGGGTCACGGGGATGGCCACCGCTCTACGGGGGGTCACGGGGATGACACCGCGCCTAAGTCCGTCACGGGGATGACCGACCATCGCTCTCCTGAGGGTCACGGGGATGACACCGCGCCCGAAACCGTCACGGGGATGATCACCGCTCTTCGGAGCAGGGTCACAGGGATGACACCGCGCACAGGACCGTCACGAGGATGACCAATGATCACCGCGCCATAAAGTCCGTCACGGGGATGACCATCGGTCTCCTTCTGAGGGTCACGGGGATGACACCGCACAGGACCGTCACGGGGATGACCCCCGTTATTTGGAGGGTCACGGGGATGACACCGCGCCCAAGGCCGTCACGGGGATGACTACCGCTTTATGGACGGTCACGGGGATGACACCGCGTACAGGACCGTCACGGGGATGACAACAAGTCAACGACCGTCACGGAGATGACAACGCCGCCAGGTCCGACGTGCTCTTCGTCTTTGCTCCTTTATCTCCGCGTGTAGGCAAGATATAGTCGTTTCTATCATACCATGAGTTAACTTTGGACAAGCTCTTTCGAACCAGCTTGTCTAGCGTTTTTCCTTGATTACTCTTAAAGCAATACGATATTTGGCATTTTGACTTCACCTTTGTCTTCCTCTCGAAAAAACCTTTCAAACGAGTATAAGGTTGATGGGGTTCCGACGCATTCTGCGCTAACTAGCCTCCTAGCCTTCAGAACCCCATCAACCTTATACTCGTTTGAAAGGTTTTTTCGAGAGGAAGACAAAGGTGAAGTCAAAATGCCAAATATCGTATTGCTTTAGGAGTAATCAAGGAAAAACGCAAGACAAGCTCGTTCGAAAGAACTTGTCCAAAGTTAACTCATGGTGTGATAGAAACGACGATATCTTGCCCATACGCAGAGATAAAGGAGCAAAGACGCAGAGCACGTCGAACCTGGGCGCGTTGTCATCCCCGTGACGGTCATGTACGCGGTGTCATCCCCGTGACCGTCCAAAGAGCGGTAGTCATCCCCGCGACGGCACCGGGCGCTGTGTCATCCTCGTGAGGGTCCTGTGCGCGGTGGTCATCCCCGTGACCCTCCCACTAGCAGTAATCATCTCCGTGACGCTCCTATGCGCGGTGTCATCCTCGTGACCCTCGAAGAGTGGTGGTCATCCCCGTGACCGTGTTGGGCGTGGTGTCATCCCCGTGACGGTCTAGAGTGCAGTGTCATCCCCGTGACGGTCATGGACGCTGCGTCATCCCCGTGACACTCCGAGGAGCGATGGTCATTCCCTGTGGTCATTCCCTGTGGCCATTCCCAGTGGTCATTCCCTGTGGTCATTCCCTTTGCGTCATCCCCGTGACTCCCTGAGGAGTGTAGCTATTGGACCCCCCCCCCTTTCTTGCCGTCTTTTGCTATTTTTCAGCTTTGTACGCTCTCTTGTTTGTAGAAAAAAACATGTTTAAACTTGTTCGGGAGGTTTGACCCGTATTGATTCTCGAAGCGTATGGTCTGAGGAGTTGTTTTTGACTAAGAGTGTACTTCTATACGGAAAGACAAGTTTTTAAACTTGATTTATGTTTTTAAAACGGGAAAGTTCAAAAACCTGGGGACAGACATTCATATTGTTATATCTTCACCAATTTTTGACATTTCTGAACGCGCTTTGGCTTAAAATGATTATTGATTCATTCTACAAATGAACGATTTTTTGGTTTTGACCTTTACCCTCCCCCTCTAATTATCCGAGTGCTTTAAACTTCAAAAATGGAAACAGGGACACGCCAAAAACGCGTATTTTGGCCCTTCCTGTCATCCCCGTGACCTGCTGGTGTCAAAATTGACGAAACTGAGTTGTGTTCCTAGTCGATCTCGATCTTCTGCATGCGTTTCGACTCCGAACGATGTTCGTGTGCCTCGCATTCAAGATTAAAGGTCCAGGGACACGAATTTGACACAATTTTCAAATCCACCCAAATAGTCTTTTTACTCCGCTTTGGATAGTGTGCCCAGTGCAACGCATGTGGTCCTACTCCATCAGATCTGTGGCGACACGCATAATTTCTTCAGCATTATCGGTAGTTAGTGCAATGCAGCTGTTTTTGTCTAGGCCCCATGTCCTCAATTCACCCACAAAAAGGTTCCGCAGCTCAAGTCCGGTATGGCCGTCATAGGTTGCACGGCAGCTCAGAGTGACGTCTTCAAAACTCTCCCAGCTTTTAGTGGAGAAGTGGGCAGTAAGAGATGTGAACGGTACATCTACATCGGACGTCCAGTTGTCAGATGTCATGGAAAAAATCTCAGCTTCCTTTAGGAAAAGTTTAACATGGTCACGAACCTACAAAAATGGAAGACCGAAATTACCATGACGTACGAAGTTACATTTCTCAATAGACCTTTTCGCCTACAACGTGGCAACGCCGTAAGTAGAATCTTATACTTGAGATAAACCGTATTTTGAGTGTCTGTCAACCAAAGTACTCATCACCACTGGATTCCTTGGAAAATTTACTAGAGACAAGTGTTTTTGCTTTTTAAAAATTTGCCTATATTACAATTTCACTACAGAGATTTGCGTTGTTGCCAAGTTGTAGGCGAAAAGGTCTATTAGTGAAAAAATAAGTTATACTACACTCAAAAGTACCTTTTTCTCTAGTTTTGAGATATAAATATCAGTCAGCGTCCGGCGAGAAAACACCTTGTAACCTGGGTAAAAAGCAGCTAATAAGTCCCTGAATCCTTCTTTCTCAACCGTGTTCAACGAGTGTGTCCGAATTCTACAAGGGAACGTTCCTCTTAGGTCCGGATGGGTCGGTCTGAGAGAGGAGAGAAGGGAACACGGACCGTGGCGAGCCGCTCTCTCCACCCGGCACCCATACATTCACATTCGACATCGACACATGCGCGACATGCGACAGACAAGTATAGACAAGTTTTAGTGGGTGAAGTGAAAGCAAATTAGACATATAAGAGACAATTAGAAGATATTATTATTTGACAGGTCATAATAAAAAATGGCAAACTCTGAGACCGAATACTGCAAGTATCACAATAATTCATTGTTGTTTTGTAATGTTTTGATACAGATGATCGCCTCTCATTAACCTAATTTTTCACATGTGTAGGGTCTGAAGAAGAGGAGATATTACTAGCCAGGACCAGAATAAAATACCACGAGAAATATTTCTCCGGATCCAAGGGGAACTCTTCGCTTATGGGTGGAAAATTGTAATTAATGAATTGAAGAATAATGTAACCAGAAGCCATGACGCAAAAATCAAAAAGAAGTGGACTTAAACGAATTCGGTGTACGAGGTAGGAGCCCAGCGAACAGAAAGGAGTACTGTTATTGAAATTTCTCAGGTTTCGTTAAAATATATTTACTTTACAGAGACTGAAAGAACCCTCCATGCGTGACACTGGGAAGGGAACAGAGAATGGAGAGGAAACGGCTGCACACTCTGAACTGTATCTAATCATGGATGAATTCTACACAGGAGAGCATACCCTCCAACCTCCTCTCCTAGCCGAGTCTTCAATGGAGGAAAAGTTGAGAAACGTTGACGCTGAGGTCGCCACTGGTCAGTCGAAGTATGTAGGGTTGGCAAACGTCACCTGCTCCAAGAGCACCACTGAGCCTACTGCTTATCTAGTTCAGCAGCCCAGCTCTTCACAGCAAGCCAGCTCCTCCAAGCAGGCAATGCAATCTGAAAAAGCTCCACAATTTTTGGCAATCAGTAGCAGCTCGGAGGAAGAGGAGAAAGGGGGCATGTTGCCTCCTCCTACTCAAGCTAGGGCTTCAAACGATAACAGATGCTCTGACTACTATAAAGTGTAGCAAAAGCCTATGAAGGCGAAAGACAAGGTGTAAGACACGGTGAAAGACAAGAAATGCAAGAAGTGTAGCCTCAAAAATAAGTAAAGCCCAGAAAACTAAAGTTAAGTTATTGTTAACCGCTCCGGCAAGCCAGGTGGTAGGTTGGGAGGGTACGCTTTGACTTTAAAGTCCTCAAAAGAAATATGGGCGCCAGGTGACAAGTCACCGTCAAAGGAACAGGCTACTAGTAGATCTTAAATGGTTAAACAATAACAAGTGGCTTTAATAATGCAATGGCAACAATTTCACACAATGTAGGAATACAAATACTGACTCCAGAAGAACCTCAAAACACAAAGTTCAAACACTAAAACTAAAATATGAACCACAAGTTCACAACTTCAAAAAACAGAGGCCAAAAGCCATACAAATACTTAAATTAAAAACCAGAGGACCAGCCTCTAACTAGAGCAAAACTCGCTCCATATAATCTCTATAACAAGGCTCTAAACACAGCCAACAACAAACTCAAGAACAAACAAGTTCCTTACTCAATCTCTCAAAATCTCAACTCAAAACTCGGCTCAAATGTGAACCAGAAGTAAGCATAGGTGTTCTAGTAAAACTAGAGTATTCAGAATGATTAAATACTAACAAACACTAAACATGTTGACTCAACAACACAGAACCAAACAAACGGGTTCTAAACTCGCAAAACAACGAGAAAATCCTCAAGGCTCTTGAGAGAAACAACGTCACATGAGACGAGACGAATCATAGCAGGCAGAGCCATAAGGTTAAAATCAGAAGTCAAACATGAACACATGTCAAGGTAGAGAGCATAACCTCGAACATCACCATAAACAAATACAGGTTATATCATAACCAAGGACCCTGAAACAAGAGACATACAGGACACTCAGTATACCGGACATAGACCAGGAATAAATCATGATTCTTCTGAGGCATTGAATATCAACTCACCGATCAGGTGTTATAATCAAGCACTGGGATCCATGCGGAGCGCCACAGTGACATCGGGTCCAAAACCAGAGCTCCTAAAATCCATCATTCTCAATCAATATATTTTCTCCAAAATAATATCATCATCCTAGTTAAATGCCGAGACTCACCAAGCAATAAAATAAAGTGAACAAATCACTAATAAAAAGGAACTCGGAGCAAACAGATCAACACCTGGGCGGAGCACATGGAAACAGGAGGTTAGGTGGGCCGCTCATATATACATCTCACGTATAATCTCTTCAGAATTAACTGGCACTCACCGAACATCTCTCCAATCCAAAATAAAGCATTGCTGATTCCAAAACTGAAGACGGATAAGTCCCAGATAAAATAATATCACGGATGATCTCAGATAAAATCACTTGCTCTCCACTACATGTTCTCTCCACGGAATCGCAGACCGGAAACTGACTGTCACCGCTCTCACTGCTTCCCAGAACGTTCCCGTGGCGCCGCGCGCCAAAAGAGCCAGTATGGCAAACTGTCATGGCCGCTTCTCGCGCCAAATCTCCAATATGAGAATCAGGCATGGCCGCTCAGCGCGCCAAATTCAAAAGGTATGAAAAACGTCACGAGGAGGGAAGGGTGGGAAATTCGAACTCGAGCGCACAAGCGCGAAGCTTAAAACTGTACCGTTAGGCGCCTCAATTTAAAAAACCAACGGTCACCTTAGACTACGGACAGAAATAAATAAAAATGGAAGGAAAAACCAACCAGTAACGAAAGTGATCGTTACA